CTTTTAAAGGTATATTTGATCCGAACTGAAAAGACGTATTTACCTATTTTATCAGTCAACTTGATCCATCCAAAAATCTGACGACTTTTATGCCTGCCCCCGGGCCGCCCGCGCGGCCTGCCGGTCCGGCCGGGCCGCTAACTTTGACAACTGGACGTTTCAGAATGAAAGGCAGAATTAGGAATCCTAGACAGATTCAACACAAGCGTAATTATTTGTCATGCATCAATTGAATACTAGTGTGGGGTGAACGGTTTCTGCTAGTACATCTCCAGTACAGTCCAAGATGGAATTAGCCGCACCCGGCAGTGACTTCGCACCCTCTTCGCACGCTTGGGTGCGTGATCTGCATGATCAGAAGGTTAGGGGCTAGGAACTCGGATCACACATGCTTGCTCACTCAAATATAAGTCCGTCGGCGGATACAGCATGCTCCTGAAGCATTCACATGCTCCGAACAAATGCGACAGCAGTGAGGATGGCGCACTATATCCTGGTGAATAGCGGGTAAGCATGACTTGTTGAACATTCTTCCATCATGCGAGATCTGCTATTTACAGATTCAAACAGACGTAAGCCGCAGGGCCATCATGTCGCGACTGCCGACCCCTCCATGTATGACGTCAGCGCAATCTTTGTTTGACCACTTAACCGCTAGTACTTAGGAACGGGTGACGAACTTCTAATTTGTGCGTTCACTGCATAAGAAAGCAGATACTAGAAACTCACTTTTCAAGTTCAGCTAGCTACTGGTCGGACACTGTCAAGTAAATATGTGAAGGCATGGCATATGACTGCAAATCGTTTCACAAATTCCATATTTGCAGCCTGGATCCGCTAATTTGAAGGTCAAGTTACTTCGATCGGTAGATCGATCGGGCGAAGAAATTATTCAATTAGACGATATGTTCTTTCTGCGCACAATCCAACAGAGATTCACCAGACTGTGTGACTTCAAGGAGCACATTGCTGAGTTGTATGAGGATCAGTAGGTCCCAGGTCTGAATAAAGCACGTCGTTAAACGGCGAGACAGTTACGACCCACGTGCTCGGAGTCATAATGCAGCGTGGGCAAGCTGCCGCCTGCTTGTATACGCTCTGCAAATGTTCGTGCAATATGTACCATATCAATATATGCAAGCACTGCTTTTGTATCCCTACGCTATTGAATCTCAATCGATGCTGCAAAAGTGTGAGACCGCACGCGGACTCACCCCTCTTTCCGTGCGCGCCATGCAATAACACATCTACCCCTCGTTTCGAGGCTGTACAGAAAAACGCCCACCGACCTACACGTTTCATGCAGAGTCCTACTGAATTTCCACCCGACGTCCGAAACATTGAGGCCCTGTCTTCAATCACGCCGCCCGCGTCCGAGACTGTCGCAGTGGGCTGATGGAGCTGGCGCCCGTCCGAGACGAGGCCTTTTCGGGCGACCGGTTGGACGTCCGTCCGGGGATGTGGTCGCCGCCTGGACTGTCCGGGGCACCGTCCGAGAGCTTGGACCATTTCTTGGTGATCTGCAGCTTCTCCATCTGCATGGGAACGAGGATTGTGAGATGCTCTTGACAACAAAATTTGGAATTAGTTTCTTCTCTCTGATAAATGAATGATGGGCCGAATAAACGACAAACTCCGCCTCTGATCTGTTGGAAGAGATAGGATTGAAATCTCATCGCCGGTGATTGAATGGATCCCCAAGAAGAGGATCAATGACTTCTTCGCAGAGAGCGGACGGGCCGGGAACGTAGAGAAACAAAGGTCGAACTGACGCTTTCCTGGACGTGTATTCCGATGCGCTCCTTCGGAACCGAGTTCTTCGAGGTTAGTCAGTACTCAGGCGCCAAGGGGCGGCTCCGCGATCAGGTTCTTGATTGTTTGCAAAAATGGATTCCCCCAGTTTGTGAACGGTTCAAAGCTTTGAAAGTCGTGAAAGATACAAGAGGCGTACAGAAGGCAGTTTGAAAGCGGTCTGTGCGAGAACGAATCTTTTTAAGCCACGTGTCCGCACCTGCATGAGCAGCTGCTGCCTCTGCAGGCTCGCCTCCACGTTCGCGTCTTTTCTGCGCTGCTGGAGGTGCGTGCGCGCCTCTAGGAGCGCGCGCGCGCGTGCCGTGTCGTCCTCGATCCGCTGGAGCATCTGCGCCCGGTGGAAGGCCTGCAGAGCGGAAAAGCGGAACGCGTCAATCAATGAGCGAACGCAGGCTAAGGAGGGATCTGCAAAATTTTGGAAGGGTGAGACGCGATGGATTGGAAGCCCTGCGATTGCCGGGTGCTGCGGGTTCTGGTCTTCTCCGGAAGAGAGCATTCTTAGACTCGAGGCCTTGAAAATGAGAAGCGAATCAGAGAATACTTTGATACAAATCCAACCTTCTGTTCGACATATCGCTTCGCCAGGTGTCGAAGCGCGCTGCCACCGATTGCTGGAAAGCCATTCACGTCTTCGAGCGCAGGACCACTTCTAGCCCCTCCTGCAAACCCCCTCGCCTCAACGAAACCAGCTGGCAAACCAAGTGCGCGGCCGCGGCCGCGGCGCGGTAAACAAAGGGGTTTTTGTGGGGTTTGGGCGCTCGCCTGCATCCGCTTCATCTGCTCCGCCTTCTCGCGCTTCTCCTCGGCCTTGAGCTGCCGCTCGAGCGCGCGTCGCGCCATCTCCTCCTTCTTCTGCCGCTGCACGGTCTCCAGAATCTGCAGAAAGAGGGATCCGTTGGTTCTAACGTGCTAACCAGGGTAAACCGAACCACGTTTAATACTTACCTCAAAAATGGTTGCCAGGAAATTCTCCAACATGCATTGAGGGAAGGTAGAAGCTTCGTTGACTTCTCATTCGATAACTGCGCCATCTGACGAAGGAAGGGCGAGGCTTGGGCGAAGTTGATTCGTGACAGGGCTATAACTCACTGATCCACATCTGTTTCGGTACACTGTGCCTGTCGGACTTCTGCCAGATAACATGCAAATCGGACGTCTAGCACGGCCGGTTCGCCATTCCTATCTGCTCCGTCGACCTTACTGAGAAAAGTCCATTATCCTCCTCCATTATCCTCCTCTCCAGGTCGTTAGAGAAGGTGGACAAGAAAAATCCGAACCTGGCTCTGGGCGTTATGATGTGTCACTTGATGACGGGTCCGTCAGATCAAGTGCAGCTCACAGGCGCAACGGGTCGCACATCGGACGTCCGAAAGGTAATCAACTGCGTCCGCACTTAGTCCGCTTCGTTGCTCTTGCTGACAACGTGGGTGTATCCTTTCCCCTGGTCGCTAGAATTATAGAGACAGCACACTAAACCTAAACCAAGAACGGGGTTGGGAAACGGACGTCCGAAAATGGTCAACCGAATTCCGTACCTGGTCCGCCTCGTTGGCCTTGCTGACCAGGTCGTGTATCTCTTCCCCTGGTCGCTACAACTCTGGAAACGACTCCCTAAAACCCAACTCCGAAAACGGAGTGAAAAGCGGACGTCCGAAAGCGGACGTCCGAAAGTGGTCGATCGGCGTCCGTACCTGGTCCGCCTCATTGGCATTGCTGACGAGGTCGTGTATCCTCTTCCCCTGGTCGCCACAACTACAGAAACGACTCCCTAAAACCCAACTCCGAAAACGGAGGGAAAAGCAGACGTCCGAATGTGGTCAATCGGCGTCCGTACCTGGTCCGCCTCGTTGGCCTTGCTGACGAGGTCGTGTATCCTCTTCTCCTGGTCGCTCATCGCCTCCTGGAACACCAGCTGCCGCTGCTGCTCCTTCTGCTTCTCCTTCTGCTTGCGGATTGCCTCCTCCTGCCGCCACCTGGCACGCCACGTGGCACATGAGGTCAGCCAATTGTCCGCGATGCTATTTGAGTCCGATCATTCGCTTCTTTTCACCAAGCTCCCTGCTCTTGACTCCGTGCCCAAGGGGCCGGCAGACAAGTCGCTTTTACTCTTGGAGACAAGGTTTGCGAAACCGCTGACATTCTGCTGAAGTATTGAACACTCCCGGTTCTTGAGCTTGACGCCTCGAGCGAAGCCTAACCACTCAGGGCTGATCATCATCGCGTCATCTTTTCCTCCAAAACTGCCCTATCTGAAGTTCCGATTGCCATCAAGGTGCTCTGACTTCAACGGAATACTCCGGCCCGCAGCTACATTCTACTCGGCTCACCTCTCTTCTTTGATCTTCTGTTTCTCGGCGACCTCTCGTTGCTTGGCGTTGTAGTCGTCGCGCTTCTTCTGCATGATGCTGCGACCGGTCTCCAGCGCGGATTGTAGCCGCTCCTGCAGTCAGCAAGAACTTTGTGCTTGAGCACTTACTGTCGGGCGTTTTCACGACTCCGATATCGTATCTCTCGAATGTCTCGATTCCTCGACAAGAGACCGCCCAGGGCTAGAGTTCAGGGTATGACAATCTGCCCAAATCCGATCAAAATCCTCTTCATTAATTCCCTGAGGTCGAGAACAGCAAGCCTTTTCAAATTCAGAGTTGTTTATGGCAGTCACTATCTCCCAAACCCCGCATCATGTGCAGATTTGTGCGTTGGACTTGATTTGGCAACGGCAGAGCTGTCTCGTATACCGCGACGAGAACAAGGTGAAGCGCGCAAGTGGCGGGCGTCCCGATGAACAATTCCCGGAGCCAGCCGCATAGCGCGCCGCAGCATTTGAAATCGCCGAACCAAGAACGATCAAGGACCGTATCCATAACCCCTAGCAGTCAGCGGTGTCTTGTTGCGTGCACCCTTGTCCACAAACGCCAGCTATTAAGAAATTCATAAACCACAAACCCGTCAAACCCGCGCTCACCGCGGCGCATTCGGCGCCCCTCTCTCCTAAACGCCTACGAACCAGAACCCACTTTTACCAAAACCCTCCAAGCCCTCACCGCGATTTTCTGCTGCACCTCCGCGTCAGCACTTCCCAAGGCACAGACCCTCAACCTACGGTTCAAACCCTCCAAACCCTCACCGCGGTCTTCTGGCGCGCCTCCGCATCCTAATCGGCTGAAAATGGACACCTTGAACCCAAAACCCCCAAAACCCCCAAACCCTCACCGCGGCCTTTTGGCGCGCCTCAGCGTTCGCGATGGCCTTCTCCTGGCGCTGCTGCTCAAGGAGCATCTGTCGCTGGCGGTCCTTCTCGTCCATCTCCGCCTGCCGCTTTTGGATCGCTTTCTGGTGCTCCTCCTGGATCTTCTCCGTCTGCAAGCGGAACTCCTCCTGCTTGCGCAGCCGCTCCTGCTCGCGCTCCGCCGCCTCCTTCTGGCGCTGCTTCTGCGGAACCGGAACGAGCGGAATGGTCAGTAGCGGACCACCGTAACTCCAGTGCTAAAACTTGGAGTGGGACGGGTTCGCATTGTGGAAGTATGAGCCTAAGTGCGTTCCGTCGCCTCCTCCTGGCGCTGCTTCCGTGGAATTGGGAATAGGCGGAGGGTCAGGTGTGTTGTAGCGGAACACATTCCTCGGAGCCAAGAGCCGATCACTTTCCCTTATTGCATCCACCAAGCAAAGTCTTCGAGGGCCTTGCAAACAATTCTCGGACGTTCAAACGAGTCGGATTCCTTCAATTGCGCTCCTTCCCTTCATAACCCTTATTACATCCCCCGTCAGGGTTCCTGTTGACTCTTTCCTGATGGCGCGTCCGCATCTAACGTACGTCTCCTTCTAAAGCTTGTCAAATTCTCTCCCGCTTACTCAGAAAAGCCTCCGAAAGCCACCTACTTTTCTTTTTCAGTGGTGCCGCCTCCATCTACCGCCGTAGCGTCCAGCCCTTTCCAATAGAAAACCTCGAAGCAGAACCCCTTCCACTTAACGAGACCCCCCGCAAACGCCAACTGCTTTTCCTTCTCTGCGGCTGCAGCCTCCACGTACTGCTACTCGAAGACCCTGAAAATATGCTCGCTCTAGTTCCCAAACTCCCATAACCACCTGCTTCTCCTTCTCCGCTGTCGCGGCCTCCATGTCCTGCGTGTATCCTCTCACAATTCTCCTCAGACAACTTCGCTCCAGTTCTCAGATATTCGCACCTGCTTCTCCTTCTCCACCGTCGCGGCATCCATGTCCTGCTTGTACCGTTCCGCTGCCAGAACGCGGCTCCGCCGTTCCGCCTCCTCGTCGCGCTTCGCCTTCTCCACCTCCTTCAGCCGCTGCTCCTCCTGCCACTCACGCTCGCGCCGCAGCCGCTCCTGCTTCTGCACCAACAGAATACCGCCACGTGTCAATTCCGCCGACTGTCAATTCCGCTTACTTCGCGCCGGAGGCGCAGCAGCCGTTTATGTCCACCCAAGAAGCAAACGACGATACGGGAGTAGCTTGCAAACTTCCTTTGTTCTGACTTTGAAGTTATCACATTCTGTGCATTGCAAGTCACTCTAGCTCGGCCTGGCAAAGGGTTCGGATCCGGTCGGCTGGTCAAAGCCTCATCCAATCGCAAAGCTCCTCGCCACTGTCATGCAGAGTTTTTGAGAATGCTACCATCGCGCGTCACTTTCAAGAAAGGAACTCGTTGAACTGCATACTGGAACCCTAAAGTCCGGCTTTTTAATAACTGTGCGAGTTGAGAGAAAGCTACCTCCGCTTCCTGCCTGTCCTTCTCCTCCTGTATCCTGGTTTGGGCGTCTTCCGAAACCATCTGGAAAATAAAGTAGACCACGAAATATCAACGAAAAGCTCGGTAAAGATAACCAATCTCGCCGGGCGACAAAGAGCCGGACAGGCGTCTGCCGTACCTCCCGCATCTGGGCTTCCCGTTCGGCGTCGATCATCCTCTGAGCTTCCGCGGCAAGCATCTGGATTCGATGACGGACGATTCGAACGCTTTCAGTAAGGAATTGTCGAAGCAGCATCGCATCCAACACGTGGCGCAAGCTCAGGTCAAAGCAAGCATACCCTTCAGTAGCACTGAGCGAAAAGAAGGCAAAGCATGGAAGCAGCGCTCGTTGTTCCGTCCACTTCGCATCGTACTTCACAAACGGTAGTCTGATCACGTATGCTTCCTGACCGTGCTCCAAGAAAGGAGCATTACGTACGTGTCCTCAATCTCAAAACGTGGCTGCGGCCCGCGGCCGCGCCTTTTACCTGGCGCTTCTTCTCGTAGTTGATCATCTGCTCCAGCTCGCGCTGCTGCCGCCGCTGCAGCACCTCGAGCCGGCGCGCCTCCTGCATGACGTCACAGACGAGCAATCAGTTTGGTTTCGAGTTGTGTTGAACGTGAGAGCAAGAAGGGGACGCTTGCATCTAAGACAAGGTTAACTGGCCACTTTCTTCGAGCTGCACACGTGCGTGACCTGGTCACCTGTCGGCTTTATAAACCACACAACGTAGCAGCTTCCAACGTAACAGCATTTCCTAACCAACCAGAAACCTCTTCCACTTGTAAACCCGGTCTTGCGCTCCTTTCCTACTGAACCGAAAATTTCCTACGCTTACCTTTTCAACCATATCCGCCCCCCCCAGAGCGTTCAGGATGGAGGGCGATTGGGGCGATTTCTTGCCCTCTTCTCTCAGGGGGCTGCCCGGGCTCCCGGGCAGTCGGAGGCCCCCCAGAGCGCCACTCTCGCCCCCCGCCTCATGGTCCTTTTCCATAATCTTGCGCCGCTCTAGTTGCAGCCGCTGCAGCTTCTCTGTATGGGGGAAAGAGCCAGTGTCGGTGCACTCCTGCAGAGTGCTAGGGCGCTCCGACGTAACTGTGAAGCTCTGCCTTTCCGTCATTGAAGCAGGTTTAAGGGACTGATGAAAGATAAACAGTTACCGCGGCCGTCCGTGGAAAACAGCAGCACTTCTTGACATTTCGGCATTCCTTGCTGCCTTGGACCTTCCGATGTACGAGTGAGCGGCACTACGAGTACGGCTGAGCTCTTGAATGCTGGCCCTTTCAGAGACTTCCTGCAGGCGATCCGCAGCAGACGACTTTGGAGAGCGGTCTCTCTCACGAGGCCCGCAGCTTTATCGTTTACTGTGTAATGCTCCAGTCCAAAGTCGACCAACTCGCACAAAGGCATCCTTTCGCTTCTTTGTGCAGGAGCGAAAATCATCCTCTACGTTCAGGTTTCCCAAAACAATGTGCTGCAACTCCGACAGATTCTGGAAGTAGATAGGACACATCGGAACACAGTCCTTACCTTGGCGCTTGGCTTCGCAGTGCTCATACTTGAGCTTCTGGAGCTCGGGCGTCAGCCCTTTCTCGGCGAACTCCTCGAACGGCCTGGAAAGAGCGCCACTGACGTCAGCTCCACACACACTGTGACTTGAATTCTTGTACAAACAAGCCTGAAGCCCGTGGTCTGTAGGCACCAAGCACTCACAACAAAGGACTCTTTACAGAGCTTTCCGAGCTTGAAAGCAGTTTTGGACATTGTCTGTGAATCGTACTTCAGTACGAGTGGTAGAATAAGGCAACGGCAAGAGGATAACTGCGGCCCTGCTCAGTCACCTGTATATTATCTCCTTGGGATCGATCCCTGTCTGCAAGCATGCCAGCAAAGACCTGGGGCTGGTTAGCCTAACCGCCTTGGGAGAACCACCTGCACTCAGAGATCGACTATCTCAGCAATCTGAAGCTTCTGGTGGTGGAGATACTTTGAAACTGGACAGATGTGTTTCATGCAGCAACTGATTCGTTTCGTTGACTGCTGGTGTCAGGTAATCAGTCATTGGACTGCAGAAACTGCACATGTATTCTGTCTTGAATTGGTGCACCCCTCACTACTATCCTTTCTTTTCGAAGACGATCAAAGGCTCCAAACAGACAACGAGTGAAAGGAAGTACACAACGAAGGAAAAGAGTATCAGAAGCAGTAGTCAACTCCTAATAAGACACTTCGTGTCAGCAACACTTGACAGCCACCTACCAGATGCGGGGTCGACATTAGCAATGTCATCCAGAGACTTCAGTTTCTTGGGCCTGCCCTCGCCAGTTGGGGTGTGAATCTACAGTAAAGAAAATAGACGAGGTTCATCTTTTGGAATGGCATCATATAAGGAGAGGTAATCAAATCAAGTATAATGTTTACCATATCCGGTTACACCCACCATAGGAGGGCGTCTGTATGATTACAATTTGAAAAAGATGAGGCATATGCGGTATACTGCTGCGTTGCCTTCTAATAATCAAATCCCTGCATTCTTGCGGCCCAGCATGTGGACTGAAAACGGCTCCCAAAGTCTGCCGGCAGGGCACACAGACCTTGTTTTACCAGCCCCAGCCGCTGGATAGATGGTAAATAGATGGCAATGTCGACTTATGGAGGTAAAACTGTTTCGCTTGTCTCAATGGATAACACAATGGTTCTAAGCATACGAAATCAAGCTTGTACTTAAGCTTCCCTGTCCCTCTGGTAACACCTTGTAATTCGCTCAATTGTGCGTGAATACCAATTGTCTTCCACCAAGGACAAGGCGTGTCTATGTTTGATTCTGCCCCTCTTCCGGGGCTGAAGTGCCAGAATACTTTCTGCGCTGCTGACATCGATTGACCAGGGCAAAGTACGCAAACGTGAGGGCCTGGGAATCTTTTGCCACCTCTGGTATTTCCAGTAGAGCATAATTGGCTTGTCCTCCTTTTTACTCTGAAGGCTCTTCCAAATTCGCAGGCCTGGCCCCTACCTTGAGCACCTTTGTCAGGCTGTCCACCCATTGGTCTGCTGACAGGTCGCTGAGCGCAGAAGGGCTGACCGGTTGAGCCTCAAGAGGCTCCGGCGGCAGTGTCATTGTCCCCACTCTTAATGCCCCACAAATGCTACACCTTCCTCCACAATGCTGCCTCACTCAGCCTCCTATCCAAAAGCCCTCTCACAAAGGCCGCACTGTCCTGCTTCTTGTTGTTTCGCCTCCGTATGTCCGGGTTAGAAACCGACCTTCAAACGCCCCTCCTTCTCAGCAGCACACCCGCTACGCTGCACGTTCCTCAAACTCGCCAGGGCCCTAATCATAGTACTATAGTAAGGCAACCAACCTCTGCCAGGAACAAAGTTGAAATCGTCAAGACCGAGGCTGACATCACATAATACCCGGGAATTGAATCCAGATTGATCCACATTCAATTCGAAGAGCGATTGAACCTCGCACTGGTGCCAGTATTCATAGCATGTGCCAGGCTGAGGCAAGTTGCCAGGCAGGCGCAGAATCCTGAGGCTGAGCATCTGAGCCGCAGTGAATTGAGCATGCATGAGGAAGGAAAGGCCTGATGGTTTTTATCATCACGCCTCTGAGTTTGTATGGAATCTGGTGATCCTCCGGAGTCCGATCTGCATGCAACTTGGCCAAAGCCAGTCACCGTACTAGTAGAAGGTAATATCAGTCCACTTGAAATGCATTGACTGAAGGCAGATTGAGCAATTTCGACCAACCGCTTCGTATGACAACATATTTTTGTGAAACTTATCTGACGGATCAAAGCGACCCCGGTCTCTCGATCGGACGGCAGGAAGTCGGAAGCTCGACATCTGGTGAGGGAGTTGCGGACCAGCTGCGACTCTGAGTCTGGCGGCCGCCTGCGAGAGCTTGTGCACAACGGCGACACGGGCTTGTTTCTTGCGGCTGTGCAGCTGAGGAAAGGGCGCTTCTAGTTTCTCATATTGGCTGCAGCAATGTCCTCAGCATGATCTTCCTTGATCGCATGTGAAAGGGTTAAAGGCATTTCCTAGCTCAGTTCGGCTGCGCTCCGCGTGCATTGGCTGCTAATCTTCCTTTCAGGACGCCATGGCAGCCAAGAGTGGACCTGCAATGCAGGCTATTACGGAGCGATCTCACGAGTTGACAGCAGATCTCGACCTTGGGGGCCCAACGGACATCCTCAGGCTGCTGAGAGCTTGTGATGCAGAGATTTTCGGTGGTTATAAGGGCTTCCCAGGTCTAGCTGATGAGGAGGTAAAACCCTCCACAATCTTGATTGCTCTGGCCATTATGGAAGCATTTGCTAAGAGCTTCCAAAGCACCTTTCAGTGCGTGGAACTGGCTCTGTGTCCGCGCTAGGACATGTCTGGGTTGCAGTGCAAGGATGATTGGTGATTCTAATGATTGAATCATGGAACATAATGCAGGTCGCAGCGCAGTGCTTCAAAATGTGCAAGATGTATGTCACCTTTGGGAAATTTTGAATGACGCACATAGATCTGGTACAGCGTGTGTCGGGCAACCCCTCTTTGTGCAAAGAACTCAATTGAGTTAAGTAGCGCCGTTTGGCACCTGCGTGTTTCACTTTTTCATACTGTAAAGTAACAGCAAAGTCCTCCTTGCAAAGCTCAGTCATGCCCACTTTGGCCAGTCTGCCTTCCTGAAGTCCCTGAAAATGTTGGTCAAGGCTGACTTGAGAGCCGAAGCGCCTGATCTAAGACGGATGCTCTGGCCTGAACGTTTCTTCCGGACAGCTCGTGTATTCACCTGTGTAAACATAACCTTTGCAATCAACAGAGTCTTTTGAAAGTTGCCTTGCCTTTCATAAGACCTGATGTCTTAGGTCCTCAGCTTCAAGGTGACAAAGCTCTCTGTCAGGGATCAATGTGCTCCTTTGCCCAGTCAATAAGCACATCCCAATTGGAACCAAGACTTTCGGGACAAGACTTACATTGCACTCCCACTGAATGTAATTCCAACCTGAAATGTAAGGAACAAAGCCCCAGATATGGTCACTTGTGCAGGTACGAGGCACAGTCGACGCCATCATTGCGGTTGTGGTTGACATGATTCGCTCCTCTCCGTACGACAGCGCCATCATTCTCAGTGGGGCAGGCACGAGTGGCCGCATCGCCTTTTCGGTTGCCAGGGCGTTCAATGCAGTCCTGGAGAAGCACGGCAAGCCACGATGCATCCACTATTTGATTGCTGGGGGGGAGGCAGCTTTGCTCAAGGTGAGTCACCGAAGTGTCTCCTATGTACCTGATGATGATGTTTTGGGAGCCAACCATAAAGTCGCATTGACTCTCTAGGGACTATTTAAGTACAGGTAATCATATTTGTCAAAGACACCTAGGCGAGCTGCACTTGAGATCGCTGATCTGAGTTGTTCATTGCTCGACCTATTATTCAATGCAGGGTAGTGATCGGCAGGACATACCGCAAAACCTTGCAAGTCCTGAGAAGGTCTATCACAATTCTCAGAAGTAGTCTAGTCTGGGGGTCTGGATGACATTTCTCAAACTTGTTACTCAGATGGACGATGGTCGTCACCGACAGCATCCACGACGCAGATGTATCTGGAAGAGGGGTCCGTGTGACCCATGACGTTTGGGCATCACAAGGCAACAAAGAAGCCTGACAGTTTAATGCCTTTTGCCAAGACCCTGGTAGCAATGCTATATTCTCGAACGTCCAGTGGTGCTTCTGGTGGCCAAGTCTTAACATTGGAGTTGAAGATCTGTTCCCTCTCGCTGTCAGTGTCAGGCGCCTTTTCTTTCTTCGTCAGGACTTTCGAAGCATCTTTCAGAGCTTGGTAGAACTTTTCCATCGGGGCCTACTAGAGTCTCTGACAGGTGCATTTTGAAAGCCAAGCCCAAATTGTTGAATCAAGGTCTTTGTGCTGATGCCAGGCTCAAGAGGGTGCTGAGGACAATGCTGCGAAGGCGGTGGAAGACCTCAAGAAGATCTATGCTCAGGGGAGGCACGGCAAGGGCTTTGGGCGGGTACTGTACATTGGCATCAGTTGCGGTCTGAGCGCGACATACGTGGCGGCACAGCTGCAGGTAGGATTCCGCAAAGCAAGCTGCAAGAATCCGGTTTGATAAAGCAAAAGCAAGATAGCACTGGAAAAGGCTAGGTACAGGCTACTATTATGGCAACTAGAATTGCTGTCATGAAGACTTTTCAGATCTGAAAAGCGATGGTACTGCAAATGAAGCACTAAAGGCCTCAGGGGTCTGCACGAGAAAAGCAGTGTGGTTGGCAAAGAGCATGTGAGAGCAGCATTCATGGATCAAATTGAAGGAATCGTTATTTTGCTCCCTCAAGCTTTTGGGTTCGACTTGAGTAGAGCATCCCTCTGAAGAGCCGGGCAGTAAATGACGCTTCTCCTTCATAAAAGCACCTTGCCGTGTTGACAAACTTGCCTGTCAGACTCGCCTGTCTTCCAGCGCCACGATTTGAGTCCAGGCTTTTCAAAGCTCCAGAGAATCAAATTCTTAAGCTTTTGCTGGGTGTTGGGGTCACATGCCTCATCTCCGCTCCGGTTTCGCCTTGCCTTGCAGTACACGATCAAGCAGCCGCACTACGCGTCGGTCCTCCTCGGGTTCAACCCCCTGAGCTATGCAAGGAAGGTCCGCGTCCCCGAGTTTGGTCACACTTTTTTCGACGTCGCAACCCAACTGGAGACGGCTGCTAGGGAGGTAAGATACTTCCTATCCTGCAAACAGGGCGCTTCGTGTCGACCTTCTCAGAGCCGAGGCCTTCCAACTTCGTCGACAAAGCCCGTGCACACGTATCTTCAAAGAGAGCTTGCTGGTTGCTCGCACACAACCGAACGGCTGAAACTAGTTAGTGACAGACTCTAAGGTCTGAGATCCCAAAATCGTCATGCTTTCTGTCGTCATTGCAAACTGCTGCGAGTGCTTAGAATTGCAAATTGCTGAACACGACTGTAAACCCGACTCCTTTTACGTCCCAACGGGCTTTTGTCCTATCTCTCGTGATAGCTGTTGTCTCCGAAACTGTCACCCGGAAATTCTCATCCGTTCTGCCGGCGTTCGCAGACCGCCGCTAATGGCCGCCGCCACTTCATTCTGACCCCGGTGGTTGGCCCCGAGGCCGTCACTGGGTCGACCCGTCTCAAGGCCGGCTCAGCCACCAAGATCCTCCTCGAGTCCATCTTCGGCAAGGCGTGCGCTCAGGCGCTCGCTTTACCGTACCTCGGCAAAGGTTGGTTTCCTTACACTTGTCCGTGAATTCAAGTCGGATAGGGACTCCTATTCCGAAAATGCGGAGACTGCCTAGCAGAGTTACAGATGACGACTTTTCTGGCGGGCAGACCAGTCACTGTACGAAAAATGAAAGTCGCACCCCCCCATGTCCTCATTGTTCTTTCTTGTTCATGATCACATCTGCTGCAATAACCACTTGAAAGTATCAGTGCATCGTGCACCATCTATGTTCCCTCGCCCATAGCGGGTATGTCGAGTCGTACCTGAGACAGCACTCTCGCCTACAGACTAAGGAATGCTGTCCGTTCAGACTGCAAGCGGTCCGTTTCGAGCAACGACTCTAGGCAACGACTGAATGTAATGATGTCTCCTACAGCAGGGAGATATCTGCGATATCTTAAACAACAAAGGTGAACAAGTTCTCGTGGAAGAAAGTAAGTAAGGCCTCAGAAGCTTTCCATCCACTTGATGCATGTGGGGAACTGCAATCACGTCCCGCCAACTACAGCACAGAATCCAAAGCGTTCCTTATAATATTTCTCCGTCAAAATTGCAGCCCCCGCAACGCCAATCTCCCGTTCCTCTTCGGACGCTGCCGTCGAGTTCACGAGCGGGAAGCCCGTCCGAACGGAGAAGACGAAAAAGGGCCCGCAGGCGCCGCCGCCGGCCGCGCCGTCCGCTTACAAAGCGGCTCTGCAGGCGTATGATGGCGTCATCAAGGCCGTGTATGACGCCATTCCGCAGCTGGCGGTGAGCGCCCTCTTCATCTTTATTTGTCAAAAAGAGTGCAAACACCAATGTATGGATCTTTCTTGCTTCCGTCGCTTGCTCTTGCGAAGTGTGAGGAGGTGAGTGAAAACGAATACACCGTAATTGGCAAACTTGCCAACCTGCAGATGCGCCACTTGCAAGTCATTTGGGGTCACAGGCAAAGTCGACGAAGCTCTCACCTCACCTTCAGCAAGCCGTCAAAGCTGCTCGCGGTACCCGTTTCTGATCTCGTCGAGGCCGCCGAAGGAAGCTGCGACGCCTATGCCCCCCAACTTCTACTTGACCCTGCCCATGAACCCCGATCTAACCCCTGCCTACCACTTCCTCTCTCGTGAACCTAGGTCCTCATCGAAGCCGCCCGGGAAAGCCTCGACTCCAAGGGCAGCATCTTGTACGTCGGCGCCGGAGGGACTGGGCTCGTCGGACTCATCGACGCGTCCGAACAGGTGCCCACGTTCGGCGCCGCCCCTGCGGACGTCCAGGCGTTCGTGGAGGGGGGCTGGGCCGCGCTCACGAGGCCGCCCGTGATCAAGCGGTCGCTGTCAAGCCCTATGGCGTGAGCTTCCGAGTCCGTCACTTACAGTGGGAACACCCCACATCCCTTTCTATTGCTGAAGTAGGAAGCTCGACAGCCTATTCTTTGGGGGGTAAAGTAGGTCGGGGTACGGAGAAGGTGCTTTCGTGGGGTAGGTTTTAGTGTCGGGTTGGAAGCTTCCTGGTATTGACCGTCTTAACCTCGATTGCAAATACATGCACTCCAGGGTCGCTTTTAATCGTGCCGGACTCTGGTTCCTCAAAGAATAGTGGTGTAAGGTCTCGAGACTCCGTTGGTCGCCTACGCAAATCTTGAGCCGCAGAGAGTGTGCGGAATGGGTTGCACTACGCTTATGAGTTGCTAAAAGCGCTGTTTGCCAGCAACGTTTTCAAGACCGCTCTCACGTCCTCCCGCCTGGAGGGCGACCTGATAGAAAACCGCAGACGCCACTAAAGCAGCTGCCGTGCTTCTCCCATCTACCCGGACTTTGCGGTAGGACAACAATCACACCTTAAACAAAACGCGGATCCTCTCATTGGGATCGATAGAGCAGATCAGCAACTCCCTCATCATGATTCGAAGAACCTCGACAAAAGGGGCGTACAAACGTATTCTGGATTCAAATCTTCCCTTCGTTCCCTCAGGTCCCGGCACGACCGCGCTCTTCCCCCCCCGCTCACGCTGTCCGACCCCTCCCCCTCCTCCCCTCACCGGACGCTTTCGGACAGCCCCCGGCGCACCCCCCGCCGCCTCAACGCCGACGACCGGTTGCCCTCCTCCGTGCTCGCGAGCGTCGTCGAGCGCGGCCTCGCGGCCGCGGGTACGCCCACCAAACTGCGCGCATCGTTTTCCGGGTCGGAGTTTTCCAACGGAGACGCCCCCCAAAGCGACACGCCCGGCGGAAGCGGCCCGGAAGGCGACAGCAGAAGGGAGAGCGCGAAGAACGGGGTCGCCGAGGAAAAGCGGGCCGCGCCCCCAGCGTCGCCCGCCGCCAAAACCCCCAAAGCCTCCCCGGCCCTCGCGCCACACGCCGACCCCGACTCGCCGAACGGCGCGCTGCCCGCCGGTGGAGACGACCCGAGCGACGGGAAGCTATCGGTGTCTTATTTTCTGGAGCGAGTGTTGCCGCGGGTGCGTCACACCGATACGGTGGTGGTCCTCCGGGGGGCCGGGGCCGGCGCGGGCCTGTCGGCGGAGACGGAGGCGGTGATTGCGGAGCGGAAGAAGCAGCGGGGCGGCATGGTGCTGGCGCTCGTGGATGTGGTGGTCGGGGAGCATGACCGGATACTGTGCCTTGGGTGAGCGCTCGGTGAAACTCAGTCGTGCCGACTTTGTCGAAGCCTCTTGAGGCTGCACTGTTCCGCTCAAGATGCATTTATCAGCTTAATTCAGATACTGTGCCGTTAAAAAGCGCTCAACGTGCTGTTCACTTCGCAAAGAACCAGCGAGGCGGTGAAGTCAGGCTGTCAGCAGGCTTGTCTTGGTCAGCAAGTAGCGTCCTTGAGTAATTGGTGCACTCTAACAAAGTTGAAAGCTGTCTTAAGGGTAGCCACGTCTCTTCTGCGCCAGATCCCGAGCCGGCGGCGCCAATTCCGGTGGAGTACTGGAAAGTGCATACCTCGACCAACCTCGCCTTGGTGGTCAAACGTATCAGACTGCACAAATCTTGACGCTGCAGCTTGACTGCGCCATCTTGTATGCCTCTTGTCGTCCTCCCATCAGTCGCTTCAATGCTTTGGGGCGCGGTTGACTTGACGAGCGCCTTCGAGACGAGGCTTCTCACTTTCTCAAAGTTGTCGTTCAGTGTATCCACATCTCGAAAATACGTGCAAAGCTGTTTGAGTCTGTCTCCTTCTCCCTCCTCCAGACACTGACCTTTTTGGTTTTGCTGCAAACAGTGCCGAACTACCGTAGACCGTCCGCTACAAGAGATAGCCTACCATCCTCTCCACTTCTGATCCTTTCTATTGACGTACCATTCTCTGACCGTTTCGCAGCGACTCGGACCTCCACGAAGCTAAGTCCCCCCAGACGCGTTCAACTCCGCACCGAGCTCGTTCACATTCTAACCTCTGGTTTTCGTCTCTAATTCTTCCCATTTTCTTTTCTGGCAAGCTCTGCTTTTCAAAGCTTCCTCGTGGGCCGTTTGCAGCGATGCGGACGTCGACGAAGCCAAGTCCGCGGACGCCCCCGACGTCCGCCCGGAACTCGAGCGCCTCGCCAACGTCCGCGTCCTAGTCCGCCTGCCGCCGTCCGCGGCCGCGCCGCTCGTCCCGGGCGTCGACGGTTTTTCCGAGCTCGCCGTCAAGCTGGTGCTGAACGCCGTCAGCACCGGCGCGCACGTCTTGGCTGGGAAGGTCTACCGGTCGCTTATGATCGACCTCCGGGTGAGCAACCATAAGCTATTGCACCGCGCGGTCGCGATCGTGGAGCAGCTCGTCGGCGTCCCGCGGCCGGCCGCGATCGACTGCGTCCTTCGGGCGATCTACCGGCTGGACCACGGGGACGAGTTGGCGGGCGCTGACGTCAGGGAGAGTCAGCACCCGGGGGAGGGCCAGAACGGTGTCGCGGAAAAGAAGGAGCTGCGGAACCTGACAGAGGCGCTGGCGCTGCTCAAGACGTGGAGCTCGAGCGTGCACGTTTTGCAGGTGATTCTCGATCCAGTAATGTTAAGCCCAGGCAAGTTACATCGAGCCCAGGCAACAGTTGGCCTTCTGGGCTGAGCTGAAAACCCAACTCAGAGTTTACGTGCTGCGTACCTGAACCCAATTTCCTTCGCTGACTAATTCTATCCTTCCCGGTTGCTGCTTACTTGACATTGAATTGATCGAAATTATTTGCAGGCGGCCGAGGCGTTCAAGGTCGTGCCGACCGCGCTGCTGCTGGCGACGGGGAAATTTACAGTCGAGTCCGCGCACGAGACTCTCCGGGAGACGCCGACTGTGCGGAAGCTTATTGAAGAGGCCTTGACCCAGGACGCATAGATCTTGTTGATTTGCAGCAGCCGGGAGACAGTAGCGACTAACAAGGTTTTGCATGAGTTACCGTCCGCTTGAGTCCAAAGTCGTTTGGGCAACTCCTTGAAGCTGCTAGGTTTGGAGGGTTCAACAAGTCGTTGTATTGGACGTACGGGTCCACAATCGATGTTCTCATCGAAAGCCCCAAATTGGCCTAGCTGGCGAGTATCGGCGCAGCTACTGCATTCATTTCCCTGTGTTGCACATGGGCCGGAAATGATCAGGTGCTGCGCATGTATCATGTTGCTCGCGCGGGCCTCAACCTTGACTGATTGAAGGTTTGCAACTTGACATCCGGATCGATGTGCATTCTAGCTTGCGACCGCATGCGCGCACGAGATCACGCACACGCATGTTGTGGCGGATGCCCATGCATTACTCCGATGCATGGCCGGCCGGGGCGAGTGTAGCTAGTATTATTCCGTCCGCGGCCTACTAAGCTATAGACACATCCATGCAGTATACTCGCAAGCACACATGGAGAAGCGCTTAGTTTCATTCCACCGTAACAACAGGTCTGTACACAGATGGTAGATGTTCAGTACTTTTAGAACCGGTTCTGACGACTGTACATATGTACACTGCTAAGTGGTCAGTCAACGCCTCCTACCCCCGGCTGCTGCAGCCGCTATAACAGCGCCGACGACGCCCACGGCCGCGGCAGCTAGGCCGATGCCGATCAGCCCGTCTGCAGAGAAAGCAATCGAGAAGTCAGCCGGTTACCAAGATTTAAGAGCGAAAAGTTGAACCAATGCACCCGTCACAATGACAGGGCATGCGTTTCGTCAGGTCTGTTCTAAAGCTCCAGAGTCCGTGAGCTGCTTTCCGTTGTCATTTGCTCGCGCCCAACAATGTGGGTAATGGTTGACAGCGTCAGCAACGTCCCGCGGTACTGATAAATTGACTTTCGACCTGGATGAAATGTAGGACCTCAAATCCAGGATACCGGAAGCGCTACCTTGATCATTACAACCACTGAGCCGTTTTTGCGTCCAGGGTTGAAGCATGATCAATATGTGGAGGTAGCTTTCGTGCAGACGGTTTGTAATATCGTCTTTGATGCACGGAGGGAATCACAAACAAGAGATGCATACATGATTCGTAACGGCGACGCTCTTCAGCATCTGGAAAGGCGCTGAAAAGCAAGCCCTCGAAGGTGAAGCTCTTGGACGAATTGCAAGCGAGCTGAAGTCACACTTTGATACTCTGCCTCCGGCCAGCCGATGCTGTCGGTGGTCTGACGCAACCCTGTGTTCTAATCCAACCACATGTCCTGAAGCCAGCCCCCAACAAAGAGTAACTGATCCTTGTCGGCGCCCTCAAGACGCTGCCCCGTTCTATCTTCAAAACTGAAGTGCTAGCTCGCTTCTAAAATGGCCGAGCTGGCCTCACGACATCAAACAGCGGGACCGGAAAATACGACAAGGGGATTAAGTACTCAAGATAGTTTGTCCTCGCAAAGGAGAGCCTTCAGTGCCAACGAACTCAATCATCCGTGAAATGCTGAAGAAAGGCTGTATCTCGTGTACCAATGTGATATGCCGATGGTGGCCTCGACGATCTTGCCGAACTCTCCAGTACGCCTTGCACCAAAAGAAAAGTCCCAGATTGCAAGATGCCAGGCCCGCGTCGTCTCGAAACGACGAGGACGAGTATTGAAATGTAAGGGGGCTTACCTGCTGCTATCCGATCCTCGACAATCTTTCTAAGTGTCGTCGCTTGCCGAAAATCCGGAGCCATCTGCAAAGAAAGGAACCGGTCGTGAGGAACCCTCACGATCCACTGTCAAAAGCCGACAAGTATCATCGCATCTCTCACGGAAAACAACAGGCGAAAATGAGGTCTGACGAAAACAACTGCCCCGTCGAGCTAGTACTGCAAAATTCACGAAATCTGTCCCTAAACGTTGGTGCGGCTTGGAGCGAAACGAACCATATCAAAGTCCCACCAGGCCGCTCCTCCAAATATACGCGAAGCTCGACCTTCGGCCGATTGATTGCAATTGATCGTTCTCGAGTGGCTCATCGGCGAGAATTCGAAATAAGCTTAGAATTCTTGCAGTACCAGATTGGCCAGCGTAGGGACACCTTGCTGAGCGGCCAGAACTCAACTTGAACGGAAGCAAAAACCGGGCGTCATGACTGCCCATTGTTGTAAAGTCCAGGGTTAAGACAAGGCGAACATAGATCGATTCTTCAAAAAGGGCGACAGTTCTTCGATGCCTCCTCATCAGGGTTCTTCTAACGTGCAGTCCATCGCGAAAATGCAGCATCTCTCAATCGTGAAAATGTGTACAGATGTAGACGGGTGCGATCAATCCGACACCGGTCAGTTCTCCTTTTCCTTGAACTGAAAGAAACCTTTCGAAACATGGTTTGGAAGCACTGTCCTTACAAAATCGCCTAGGAACGAAGAGCAGCTTAGTGCCCAAAGCAGACTTCTGAGAAGGACCTCTTTGGAAACTACGATCGAGACATATTCTTACCGCCTCAAATCAAGCGTGATCCAGTCTAGGACGAGCCTAGAAATGGTTTGGGTGGTATTGTTGGAGCCACAGACGCTATCGGGGCTCACCTCGAGCGCATGCTCGACGAGCGTCTTGCTCTGCAGGTAGTCCCCTAACCGGAAGTGGCCAACCGCCAGCAGGTATAGCACCTCTCGCTTCTCGAGGGGGGAAGTGTCACGCCCCAGCATGGCTGCATAGACAGGACTGGCGGGTTTGGGGACAGCGCTCCTTGGGAACCAGTGCGCTGTTTAGGGTGTGCGTTTGTAACATTAGGTGTTTGGGTCGAATTTTGCAAGATGGGAGGGGCACGGGGTTTCAAAACTTCGTCTAGGAAAAGAATATCAGGCTCTCTACTCAACATCAACGTGATTCAAAGATTTTGGTTCCTCAACGATTCGGGACTGGTGTAGCCATTAAAAGCACCGCATAATGCCTTTCCAGTCTATGCAACTTCCGCGCAGACCGACGTCTGAACTTTCTGACAGATGGGGTGAGACCCGTGTTCCTTCTCAGAAGCGTAATGCTTCCACAGGAAAGGCTCACAGGAGACTGTCACCAAGTGAGGAGACTTATGACTAGCAGCACACCTCACAATCCTTATAAGTTGGGGGTTGTTCTCCACAGCTGCATCTGCAATCAGCCGTCCAAGCCAGATGCTCAATAGACCTTGGCTCCTCCAATGCAAAAGACGGCAGCATTGTAGGGACATATATCCCCAAAAACTCCCCCTTTGACTGTCACTCTAAGTCACATACCAGGTGGTCTCAATGGACAGCTCCTGTGGGGCACCATCATGATCGTTTCACAACGCGTCGAAAGCATCCTAACGCAACAGGAACCATGGGGACCCTCCAAATCAGGCGCGGACAATCCGGCACTTAGCATTCAGGGCAGGGGGTACCAGCTTGCCTTGGACAACCAACTTGTCAACACGGGCACCAAATAGAGAGGGAGAAAGAGAGCGCAACAAAGAAAGCAAGGGCGCTTAATAGTGGAACAAGCTCACGGAAAAGCAAATATCGATAGAAGAACAAGAGCGACTATACAAGGCAAAGGAAAAAGGGAGGAGAGAAAGAGCAGGGGCCTGGGGGAAGTGCTCACTTTCCAACATAGCAACGCCCCTCCTGACATCTACCTCTCGTGTTGAGTGCACGAGAGTGTACGCCAGGTTCTTCACACTGTCTTTAGAATCTGCTGTCCCAGCAAGGTCTGACGACGCAGCATTCTCACAGTCCTAAGCAGAAAGGGCAGCAGATCAGCACGACCACTTGTATCCAATTAGGGTTATGCCTGGTTGGACAATGGCTGAAATACAGTGGTCTGCCTCCAAAGCAGTAGCATGCAGCGAGAGTGTCAGAGCTGCGGCGAACAGATTGCTCCTGATTGGTTGGTTTCAGCATGCAAACATGGATGCGACTGGATTCAATATGGCTGTTGAACCTGTTTCGTGGATTAAGTGATTCAGCAACATCAACAGAGCAAATCAACCAACGGCAACTTCTTCTACGAGGAACCGGGTGGTACTTCCACGCCCCAAAAACATCAGACTTACGGCAATCATCTTTGCGTCGGTCCATGGGAGCGTGTCGGTCTCGTCCCGACCGGAAAAAACCCTCCCCAAGCTTCTCAACATCTCGTTCGCTGAAAGCGAGTACCTGGTACGAAACAATACGGGCAAAAAGACTGAGAAGTGTAGAAGAGGCCAAAGCTGATCCCTCCTTCTTGCTGCTCCGGAAGCTTCAACTTTTCCACTGTATGAACTTCAGACTTGTTCTATGACTATCCTGATTCCTCACTGGGTCGGAATGGCTGTGCCGCGCGCAGCTTTTAGCACGTACGGGGCGGCCGCGCCGTCGGCCCGATCTGGCATCATTCGGTCCGATGCATGAGGGTTTGGGGTTTGTAATGAGAGTGATTCAGAATGCAGAAGTCCCGGGCACTGACGCACATTGAAAACCCTAACCTAAAACTCTCCGCACCTAGGCCAACTTTAACCATCAGACCAACCCTCCCCCTCCCCCGGGCATGCTACAGTCTACGGGATGTTGGTATCCCATGGGTAAACGCTGTGGTCGGTAAGTTCAAAATTGTACCGGTAATCCCTTCCGGAATCCGTTGCCGAAAGTGACGAAAGTGGACCCGTCACCCAAACTTGCGGTTTTGGGTCAGTAGAAATACCTAGAGTGGTCACTGTAGCTACTACCGTACCGGTAGCCCTCAGTCGGACTCACGTGCTTTTCGGATCACGTGCGACAGTCGCATACAATGATTACTACTCACAAAGTGACATCAGCCGTCCTCTACTACCTACCGATCGATCGGACCGTCCATTTGATCGAACACGGCCCACGTGGCGGACCTGGATGTTAGATTCCTCTTTGGGAGGCCGGTTCCTACTGACAAAAGCATCTGCCAAGTGCTTATTGGCGGAACGCTTGTTACGCACGTCATGTTCCGTAAAATGACGATTGTAACCCAGTACAATCAAGCGACCATCATCCATGTACTTACGCGCAGGATAACGCGCTGGGTCTGTTTGGCTGGCGTCAGTTTCAGTTCCTAGTCCTGACTCGGAACTCCCTAACGCTTTCTCCCGGAAGAACAACGTAAACTACGACGTAATTTACGGTTAGTACGGTACCTACCGTACGAGCCCCAGAACCGAATCGTGTGCAGAAGTGGATCGGGCTGAGCTAGAAGTGGATCGGTTCATTTGTTATCTTGTTCCAGACCACGCCGATCGCCAATCCGTCAAGTTGTCTTCCCTTTTTGGCCAAAATCGAGATTTTCAGGGCTGCAAGGACCTCCTCGGGGCCAAATCAAAATCCGACTGCTGCCCTCGATGGGGTTCAGTAAGTCAGGATATGTGCAAAAAACCGAGACTCAATGGTCCATATTTGGTCCCAGCATTGCAGATAAGCGGTCAGAAACTAAGGTGAGCCGGTATACCGTATAGGGTCTTGTACGGTAGGTACCGTACTTCAAAGCCAAGTACAAACTTCAAATAGGTACCTAGGTACAAAGTGCAAGCTACGGACCACGGTACCTAGGACAAAGGCTGGCCGCTGGAGTCGGCCCCGAGCAGCGCCAGTGACCAGTCCTCCCCCTCGGGGGCAACCGGGTCCCGACTCCCGAGTCTGGTGAGTGTACAGTGTGCACACATTGTTTAGGCAGATTGCAACCAAGATGCAAAATACAAACTCCAAACTCCCTCGGTAACACCTGCCCCGACGGGCTCCGACTCCTCGAGCATGCAATGAAAGCGCTAGCCCAGGCTGGACGCAGCAAAGTCGAGGAGCGACTGGTGCAGATTTTACCTGGCGCTGACTGCCCAGCACACATTGCACTGTGCAGTGTGTAGAGTATGAAGCAGCAAAAGCTAGATTCATATGACAAGCATGCCAATCTTCATGCAAGCATATGAGTCTTCTAGTCTA